CTGTACAAACTGTTCTTTCGTATATGGTGTGAAAGATGGCGCATGTGTACCATGTACTGACTACCACTGTGCCTTTTGCTACACAAATCCTGACAAGTGTACAATCTGCTTTCCCGGTTATGGTGTGAAAGATGGTGCATGTGTACGATGTACTGATATAAAGTGTCGCTTTTGCGATGCCGATCCTAACAAGTGTACGATCTGTATTGACAGATACGGTGTGAAAGATGGCGCATGTGTACCATGTACTGACTATAAGTGCGAAATATGCAGCACCGATGCTAACAAGTGTACGATCTGTAATACCAGATACGGTGTGAAAGATGGCGCATGTGTACGATGTACTGACTATAAGTGCGAAACATGCAGCACCGATGCTTACAAGTGTACAAGCTGCAGAACAGGATACGGTTTGAAAGATGGGGCATGTGTACCATGTACTGACCATAAGTGCTTAACATGCAGCACCGATGCTTACAAGTGTACAAGCTGCAGAACAGGATACGGTGTGAAAGATGGCACATGTGTACCATGTTCTGACAGGGCGTGTTTTTTATGCGCCATAGATTTTACCAAATGTTCAATTTGCAATACCGGGTATACTCTGAAAGATGGGGCATGTGCAACATGTACTGATATATACTGTTTACTTTCCAGCATCGATGCTATCAACTGTACGATCTTTATTACCGGATATGGTTTGAAATATGGCACATGTCCACCATGTACTGATAAAAACTGTTTATTTTGCACCCATGATGCTAACTCGTGTACTACCTGTAATACCCAATACGGTGTGAAAGATGGCGCATGTGTAGCATGTACTGACAAAAAATGTTTCTTTTGCGGTACCGATGCTAACAAGTGTACGATCTGTATTAACGGATACGGTGTGAAAGATGGCGCATGTGTAGCATGTACTGACAAAAAATGTATATTTTGCGGCACCGATGCTAACAAGTGTACGATCTGCTATATCGGATATGGTGTAAAAGATGGTGGATGTGTACCATGTACTGACAACTACTGTGAATTTTGCAGCACAAATGCTAACAAGTGTACAAAATGCTATGCAGGATACGGTGTGAAAGATGACGCATGTGTACCATGTACTGACAAAAACTGTTACTTATGCAGCACCGATTCTAACAAGTGTACGATCTGTAATACCGGATTCGGTGTGAAAGATGACACATGTGTACCATGTACTGACAACAACTGTTTCTTATGCAGCACCGATGCTAATAAGTGTACACACTGCACTCTCGGGTTTACGCTGAGTACTCAAGGCAAAGCTTGCGTAAAATATTAAGGCTTCT